ACATTCAAGAAACACTGCACACAACACACAAAACAACACTTTCAAGACGGACATGGCTCCAGCTCTGAGCCCTTGAATGGACAGTACATGCAGGGAGTAAATAGTATTTTTCTTTGCAAACTGAGAAAACACCAGAATAGAATAAGCAAAAACATTTACTCATATAATATACTGTGCACTATTGTAACAGCTTCAAATAGAAGATCTCAAAAAACTTTGCAGACAGTAATTAGGCCTTGCAACACCCCTGCTTACTCAGTAAATATTGTCTCCATTTTACAGATGGGGAACTGAGGCAAAGTGAGGTTAAGGACCTGATTTTCAGAGGTACTGAAGAGTCATAGTTCCCATTGGCTTCACTGGGAGCCACAAGCATCAGCTCCTCTGAAAAATTGGCCACTTTTATTCAGGTACCAAATATGGTGTCTAACTTTTGGTGCCCAGCTTTCAAAAATTTTGCCTGAATATCTTCCCAAAGATCATTCAGTAAGTCTATGGGACAGTCAGCAGCCCCGTGTTTTAACCATAAAGCGGTCCTTCAGAGCTTGATTAGCCAAATGTAATGGGGCGGAAGAGAGGAGGAAGAGAGAGAAGACACTAAACAGGTTTGAAGAATTGGGGATCAGAAACAAGAACATTTTCAATTAAAAGTATTTTGGGGACTGTGATGCTTTGGGTGTTCACCCAGACCAGTAAGAGATTGTGTCACTACTTGCCCTGTAACCCCGTGTGTGTCTGTGCTGTACAGATCTGTCTCAGAGCCCTGCTCACAGCAAAATGCCCTCACCCTGCGTTCCACCAACCTGGCTAGTTGCAGGGTGACTCCAACAGCCTCTCCAATCTCAAGTCCTCCCAAAACCACCCCCTCACTGCAGCCCTCACAAAACCTTATCAAGTTTGATGCTCCTTTAGAGAGGCAGTACAAGCACCAGTCTGTTAGTGTGGCTGAGGATTTTACTCTTCAGTTTGAAACACTGCACTGAGATGATTGTGTAATAAAACAAGTTTATTAACAAAGAACAGATATCTAAGTCATACCAAGTAAAAGGAATTGAGATAGAAAGTAAAAATACACTAAGACTAAAACCGAACTTAACCAACTAGAATCTTTTGTTCAAAGTAGATTTCACCACAGTTCTTCCAGCGTGGGCAGCCAGTTCTTAGCCAGGGCCCAACACAGAGCTCAAAGCGCTTGGTTTTGTTTCTTCTAGTGAAGGATATGAAAATGGCTTGCTCTTTCTCCACTTCTAGCCTCTATTTTACCTTTATCTTCAAAGTCAGGACACTCTCATGGAGGCTCAGCTTGTTGTGTCCACCACGAACCTCACGCCATGTTAATTTTTGCAGTGTCTCCCTGCCTCCCATTGTGATACTTAAGTGCCCATCTCCCCCACTCACTAGTTTGATGGCTTTGTTTACTTTTTCTGTAAATGTACTTTTATTGCCTCTTTGCTCAATGTAGAGTCTGTATCACCCATACATACACGACACAGTAATATTAATGATGAGCATGTTACCAGTTCGCATATTATACCTTACAGGACACCCTTTAGATATAGATTATGACACTATCAAGTTGGGTTACATTGAGTTTGTCAGGACAGTTGAGGCTCACTGCTAGATACCACAGAGCAGTTTGCCTTATGGCACTGGGGTGCTCTGAGGGTCACAGGGAAACGTCCCTATTTGGAAAACAAGCCGTTTCATATAATCAAGGTACATTACACAATAGATATTTAAAATATATAATTTACCTTGTGTAAAGTAAAATGTAATTTTAATAAGTAGCTCACATATGATACCATTCATACATGTTCTAAACCAATGCCTGGGAGAAATAGCTTCCTCTCCCCCACAACCAACTGATATTGAAAGATGACTTGACAAAGTATCAGGAGATATGAGAGGAATGTTTGGAAATAAAAACCAAGGGAGAAATATAAATTAATGCTCAGAGTTGCACGAGAGTATTGTACACTCTGGATACCTACTATATTTTTTCTTTTCTGCTCTTTACTGTATCCGGTTTCTTTCCCCAGCAATTTCAACTGATCCCTGTGTATGGTCTCCATTGTGTTTTCACGGTTTTATTCTTAACTTTAAAAACTCTTGGAAGAGTGTATTGATATATAAAGTCTCAATAAATGTTATTTAAAAAAAAAAATCTATCCCAAAAGCACAATACTTGAGCTTGCAACCTTGACATTCTGTATCACAATTCAATATTTAGGATCCTCTAACCTCAGTTCATAGCAACTACTATGCTAAGTATTAGATCCCTGCTTTATTGTTATGTCAACTCAGTGATGGAAGTGGACAGGGATTCTCCCAATTTCAATAAGGCCTCCAGAGTAAGTTTAAGTGAAAGTAAAACACTATATAAAAAAAGAACCAACTGGCCACAAAAGAATTTATTCAGTGCTGTGTTCTCTTAACTACCCAAACTGAGCTACCCTAGTGATTGCCTCAGATACACTTGTTTGCAATGCAGCTCCTACTCTGAGGAACTGATCTCTGACTCTCATTCACCAGGAGATTTTACACAGAAATCGGTAGTACAAGAGGGATATCTGTCTGTCTTATCAAACTGTAGGAATGCTCAGTGCCAAGTGAGCTTAGACGTATACCCTCACTCACATTGAGTAGAGCCTCCTCACTACCCCAACAGTCCCATTGATTTCAACATGCTCAACATCAGTGAGAGCATCAGAATGTGACCCCTGCTGATTATGACAAAAGCTCACTACAGGCAAATCATAAATGTGCTCTGCATTTGTGTCTAAATGTACCATCTTAATTTTTAGTTATTGAACAAAGGTGCAGATTTACAACATGAGACACCAAGGAGGATGGCAGAATACGGCAATTTCTAGCTTTCCTAAAAAAAACAAAACAAACAAAACAAAAACAAAAACCACAAACCAAACCTACTGGCAGAGTATTCAACATAAGCAAGGGGTAAAGAATCTGGCTCCATATGTCTGCCATCATATATATATTTACCTGTGGATGTCACAGCTCTTTTACACACTTACTCATGGTGCGAGTGGACAGTGACTTCAGGTCTAACATCAGTTGCCAGCACGGTAAACATTAGTCAGAGATGTATGGTAGTAGCTCTTGACTAATCTAGCAAGATGACTGGGAGACCAACCAGATCTCCTACATGGCAGTAGAAAGCACTATTACCTGGCTGTTCTAACAACATCCCTTATTATTTGAGTAGCATCATGTTCTCATTCTGGGTCCTTCCCCTCTTGACACTTTTGTTCTTGCTGAGACTGCAGCAATATTCCTAATAGCACAAGTATAAATATAAGTAATTTGGAGGCCCTATTCGCTAAAAGAGAGAAGGTACATCTCTTGTAAACTGTACTTGTACAGTAATTGTTATGTGAAGGAAGATTGTGAGAAAGCAACACTGTATGAGGTCACATTCTTCTTTTGATAACATCTCTGGGTGCATGCACTTTCTCATCACATAAAAATTAAAAGGAGTTCAACAGGTCACAAGCCAGGCCAAACAAGCAGGAAGCAATTACACCTCACGACCATTGCCCTATATACCATATGGAGAGGAATATTATGTGCTCTGAAGCCATTTACCCAGACTGATTTGTTGGAGGGTAGAAAGAAACAAACAACTGTTCCTGAACAACCTTTCAGCTTGTCCTCAAGCACTACTAACAATATAGATTCAGTTAACTTCACCCTTAAAAGGAGAAGGCTGATCTGATCTGCCAGAAGAACAGAGCATATACAATTTCGCTCCTTCAATCAAAGGTTGTGTGATGAAATCTGATTGGTAAATACATTTTTACAGTGTAACTATAAATCCCAATGTAGAAGTTCCATTTGGCTACTTTTCTTAACCATGCCAATTCTGAAATCCAAGCAGCAAAATGGGATCTCATATTCTTTGTACCTTATTAATCCACTGTGTTATACTCAAGTTTGTTCTGTTTTTCCTGACTCTGGCACCCACCCAAGACAATCTTGCCATTCTTATGGGATTGTCAACAATACTTTGCCTATGCTCCGCGACTGTGTTTTTACAACTTTGCACCCTAATTCTTCTGCTCTATCACTTACTAAATAACAGTAATAAATAATGACAGGTTTCAGAGTAACAGCCGTGTTAGTCTGTATTCGCAAAAAGAAAAGGAGTACTTGTGGCACCTTAGAGACTAACCAATTTATTTGAGCATGAGCTTTCGTGAGCTACAGCTCACTTCATCGGAATTGACTTCAATGGAGCTAAGATTTCACCCTTTGAGTGTAATATGTGGGCAAACCTAAGTAGATATCCCACAAAATGGTATGAGGAGGATGTCCAGAGCCATTGAAGGATCAGCATCTCTGAAAATCAGGACATTTAGGAACTGATACAGTGTTCACTGAAGTTAATAGAATGACTATCTGATGCAGGTTCTTAGTCTTCACTCATTATTGTAAGTAACTGAGGCTTTCAGTAGTGGTCCCAAATACTTCAAGTGGAATTGGATCGAGCTTTTGTTTAAGTGTCTAAGTTTAGGTACCGACATTTAAAATTTTTGGCCAGAATATTTTTATCTTTACTAGGACAACTAATTAGACCTGCCTCTCACCACACACACACCCCCCCCAGAGATTTCTGAATCTACAGGAACAAAGCAACAAAAATTATTAAAATTTACAATATTTAAAACTTAATCAAACCACCACCTAAGACTTTTTTTCATTTTAATCTATGAAATAAAATGCAAAAATTTCCCTTATAATTAGCAAAATGCATCAGATTTCATTTTTTGTGTAATAATTACATAGAAGCGGACCTAAAACCTGGCTTGTGACTTTGGGCCATCTCACTAAGGGCTGACTCAAGCTGAGCACCAGCTCACGGTCATGCCCATGTTGGCTCAGCCATGCCAGTGTAGCCTTATAAGTAGAGGACAGGAGTTCTAGAAGAATACAGTACAGCTCTTATAAAACAAACATCTGGGTTAAATTTAAGAAGGTACCTGAAGTGGAGTTTCTCACTCTTCCTGTCTTGCAGGGGATACTCCTCTAGGACATCTTGAATCAAAGGTGACTGCTGCCTATGTGTTCTGGAGAACGGCAGGGTTCCCATATGGCTAAACATATCACAAGATCTAATGGGAATGGTCCCCTTTTTCTTCCTAGGGAGAGTGCCATGGATAGAAACATCTTGATAGGAGTCTAAGCGATGCTCGGTCAGAGGAGGTTTGCTGCTCAAAAGATCCATAGAAGAAGCCAGTGAGAACTGATGGTTCATCTGTATATTTCTGTGGAGACTTGAAAGTTTTCCAGCAGCTATCATTCTCAGCTCTGAAAAATAAAAGTTACCCACAGTGTTCATCAATCACTAGTGCTGCCATTTTAAATGAAATTAAACAACATTGTTAGCTGTTGTCTCTATTAACATTACACTTCTTGTATTAGAAGGCAGACAATTTATATGCTTTTCAAATATACACTAAATTATGACCTAATCTCATAAATTCCAATCCTGCAGATTATTATACAAATGTACTTAACCTTTATGCATGTGAATAGCCCCATTAAAATAATTGACTTGAACACATATGCAAGTGTTTGCAGGATCTGGGCCATAATCTGCTATTACCTACAAGGTTTATCTTCTTATCTGTTGTTTTACCCGGAGTTCTTAGAAACCATTCCATTTGAAAGGTCAAACATCAGTCTGGAATCATTAACTGAAACTGAATTGTCAGGAAAAAAAACCAACAACGTACAGACCAAGGCTTAGTTTAAAAGATTGCTAGTCTAAACTCAGTAGTGAGCACTACAGACCTGGGGCAAATATTTTTAACAGTTTGTAAAACAAAGGATTTTATCCAAAAGAGAAGGGCAATAGATTACTGGAATTCTTTTCTGTAGGATACACAGGCCAACTGAGTCAAATTCACTACTGGTATAAGTGGGATGCAACTTTACATTACAGGTGAATTTGGTCAATTATACCCTGGCCTACAACAGAGAGGTGTCTCCAACATGAACAAAATTACAACACTTGGTGTAAATTCATAGGGTCAGATTCTGGACCCATGATAAGGCTGCTTTCTGCCACTCCACAAATATAAAGTAGCATTAAGTGACTACCAATGGATGCCTCTGGTTTAGGGGAATCCAGAGGTCCTGTAGTGATGGCTACACCGGCTCTATGCCCCACTCCATCCACTTCCAGCTCCAACATCAGGACATTGTTAGAGTGCTGGGGGTCTTTGCAGGTTATTGTAGCCAGGCATAATTTAGAGCAACACTGAAGCTTATCTCACTTATGTCAGGGTTCAGCTCATAAAACTACCTTTACAGTCTCCCCCCTCCACTTTAGCTGCACCACAAAGGCCTCGGATGCTGCTGAGAATCTAGCCATGGACTCCACAAATGTGTTGGTGACTTGATAAAAACTCCCTCCCGCCTTTTTTTTTTTTTTTTTTTTTTTTTTTTAATAAAAACACTATCTGTAATTAGAGCAAGGTATTTATGGTAGGACCTTGATGACATCACTTATAATGTGAAAGTGAAAAGTTCCAAGTGCAGAGGCTCTGTAGAATTGCTCTTGCATGTTGTGTAATGTTTATGAGAAGTTGTGCTCTTGTAGATGGAGTCAACTAACAGGGATTAAATTAAAATAAAAACCTTTCAAGAGGTCTTTCTGACAGATTATGATGTGTCCCTTGACATGACCACTAAATCTCAGACCCTCCTATTGTTTACATCTTCATTCAGAATGTGGTTTGGGGAAGTCATTTCTACCTGGTGGCAACAAAAAATATTGCCAGTTCATTCAAAATTTTACTGTGTTGTATAGGCTGCTTTGCATTTTTGATTACCCATGCCAACATAATTGATTCAGAGATAGGTCCAAAACAGAAAATGCAGGATATAGATCCAGGGCCAGATTCCCAGCTAGTGTAAATTGGTATAACTCCATTGGTCCATATACTAAACAGAGTATTAAGGCTAAAAAGTTAACTATTCCCAAACAAAGTCAAGAAATGAAAAAAATGAAGGTTCTCAAAACTCACACTAACATTGAGGCTGGAACCTTAATTGAGTAGGCACCCAAACCCCATATTTACAGAAGTTTGGAAGTCCCAGCCTAACTTGCCCGCACTGAGCCAACTTTTAGAATTGCCTCTGATTTTGCACCTAATGATGGTACTTACCATCTTCATAAAAAACCTTGAGACTGATAAGTGCAAAAGTATTATAATATAATAAATGTACTTTCCTCAGCCTCCTTAACTCAAACATATGAGGGATTTTCCTCAAACTTGCTAGTAAATTCATCTCTAGGCTGAGACAAAGCATATGAAGTTTTAGTCTCAAAAGTTACAAGCATGCAAAAACAAGTGGATAGAATAATAGAAGTTGCAATGTAACTTCAGCTATAGTTTTGGCTACCACCAAAATCTGTGATAGACACACATTAACCATAGACTTCAGACTACTTCCTATGTAGCGATATCTAGAGAAAGAGGACCACCCGCCTGCACCAATAACTTCCATTATCAAAGATATTAATTTCTAAAACAACAGCCTGACAAACTATTTCAGTGAAACAAGAAAGGCTCATGAGGTTTACTTTTCCAAGTATTAAACCATGAATTTGCTACTGCACATTTTAAAGCACCTTCACCCCCCACATGAGCTAGACCATAAGCCCAGTTTTCAAATGCATACACATTGATGGGATATGTAAGTCTAGTATTTGTATACTTAAATTCACACTTAGGTATACAAAATGAGCATTTAGGTGCTGTTTTGAGAATTCACATGAGAGACATAAACATCCTGCTTTCACATTTGATAAACGATCTCTCCACTTGCAAAGTATATGTAGCTATACTTTAATTTTAATACATAAAAATGTTGATTACATTACAGCATTTCCCCCCTCAAAATAGGTCTACTCAATTTTTCTATAATCATGCCTGCTAGCATCCTCACCAAGGGTCAGAAGTAGGACTTGCTACTCCTTGATGGACTCCTAAAAGCAAGTCAAGATTCAGCAACATAACCAAAACAGTCAGCTCAGTAATGCAAATTGCCAGATTATCTGACAAGTTTTGCTTTTGCTGAATGTCAAAGCTCCAAGGAATGAGCCCCTTTTCAGCTGGAGATCCTGGAATGTTTCAATTGTTTCAGTGTATGAGCCAAGCAGGAATGCTTGAATTTACTGTAGATGCAGTCCTAGAAAACTACACTCATTATTAGAGAGCACTCTTTGCCTGCCAAAAGTTTCAATCAACAGCTGACACAATGGGTCAACATACTAGAGGGTTTCTGAACAAAAGGGACTGGAATCCCAGTTCTGAACATTACTGCTTGCTAACATGCAGTCACACTAGAGTAAGAGCCTGGGAAATGGTATAGCTCGCTTCTATTTAGGGCAGAACAAAAACTGTTTCAGTCTCCTATAATGCTAAATCTATGGTAGGAATTTTGTATTTTCATCATAGTACAATATCTCTGTCCCCGTTACTTCCCCCTAGCCCCATAAGAAGAGCAAAGACAGCTTTTGACCATCTGTGAAGCAAATTGGTCTTAGTCAGCTACAGAAGAAACAAAAAGACTCCAGATCCAGATCCCAGCTAATAGACAAGATGTTTTCCAGATTCCATGCACAGATTTTGAAAGAACCCACCCACCCTTTTATTATATTGCAAACAGAGGAAGCATGGACCAAGAGGTCTTTAAATGACCATGTACATTAATGAATGTGGATGCATTGGGAAATTTTGCAGAGGGATTGGAAACAGGGTGAAGGCATCTGTCTGCTGGGAAAAACCAAACAATATTACATTCCAAAACAAAGATTCTATTCACACCATTGCTCAGACACCAACCTGATATATGCCTTATAAATACCTAAGATGGAGTATTCAAAAAGCTATTTTGACTCTGATTTGGGAATAAAAATGCCAACATTATGGTTCAATCTGCCTTCCTGAAGCAAACCCCTTTTCCCTACCCCCGCCTTCCCCGGAGATGCTCTGAAGTTTTTCTACCTTACTTCACAGAGTAAGTGGTACTTTTGGAGAACAATAAAATAAGTCTAATGGTGAAAACTGTAACTCCAGTCTGTCCAGGAGAAAACTTCTCATTTGGCCACAGAAATTAGATTCATCCTGTCTGCCCCCTTTGTATTTGTGAAATCCCTATTTACAGCCCGATTCAAGAATCCCATGAAGTCAATGGGAGTCTTTCTACTTATTTCAAAGGACTCTGGATCAGGGTCTTAAACCATCTCTTTTCAAAATGCTAAGCGATCAGTGCATTGTTAGATATATATGAAAACTGATTCATATCACACTCGAGTTCTGCTCCAAAGCTCATCATACAGAAAGATGCCCATTGACTTCAGTGGGGGGTTTGTATCAGGCTCTTTGGATGTATGTCTTACTTGGTTTGGTTGTACTGTACTATAGATACTAACCTCCTTCCTGCCCCCATCTCACCCCTGTCTCTCACTGCTCTCTCTAGTAATGGAGTTAAGAGGGATGGAGCAGAGTAATATGTGCATATCCAATTCAAGTAAACAAACTATTTTGGGACATTTAAAGGGGCATAGTCAATTTAAAACACACACCTGTTTGAAAACGTTTTACTTACAGTACTATTATTACAAGTAATCCTTAAGAATATTGTAATTGAAAGATTACAGAAAAATATATTTTTCAGTTTGTTTACTTTGCACATTTGCAAGCACTTTGTGTATAGTCCCTTTCACCATTTTCAATGTATGGTCAGCAAAGCCCTGATCCTGAAACTGAATTGGCACTGGCAGCCTTCTGCACGCAAGTGAAGGACCCATGCAGAGTCAATGGCAGGATCAAGGCCTTCAGTTTTCCCCATTGCTGGTGTGCGTGGTTTTTCATATCAAGAGAGAAGAACCGCACATTTTAAAATAAATAAATAAAATAAAAAAGGAAAATGTGATTGAAAAACCACAGAAGTTGGCAGGTGGCTTGGATAGATGTAGTAGCTGAAAACTATTTTGAACTTAAAACAAAAAGAACACTTTTTTTGCATTTGTCTAAAGTAACCAAGAAAATAGTTAAAAATCAAACAAGTCTTCCTGCACCAAGAGGTGCTTCCATAAAATTATCTGGGATTAAAAAATTCCTGCATACTACCAAGCCTTTGATACAGGTATTATAAAATTAATTGGTACTCTAGCCTCCATGGCAAACTGGCCTGAAGACTTTGAAATGAATACAAAGGTTCAGGGAATCCATAACCTGATATGATAAAGGGGGTGAGTGGGTGAGAGCACATGCAACAGTTCAAAGGATTTAAACCTCTATCAGGAACAAGCTAGAGTCTGCCAAGCATCAAACACATGAGATTACAGACAGACCAGAGCTTTGAAAAGGCTTCTGAAAAGATGTCAAATGTACTTACAATTAAAAAAAAAAAGCTGATTAATCCTTATCCTATATTATGATAAGCTCACAACCTATTTGAACAGTTTTTTATAACCATTATTCTGAGTCAGTGGAAAGCATATAAACAAGGATGACTTGGGCTTACTCAATATCAATTTCAAATTAAAATAAAGCTGTGGCCAGCCAATGTTTCATACTAGATTTTTAACTCGCTTTTGAGAAAAGTTTAACTGAACAAATCCCACATTGTTTGTCAGAAACATTTCAGATCAGTCTTTTTATCACATCATTTCATTAGATTTATAATAACTGGCCACAAACTAAATTTTTACTTTTATTTAAAAATGTATGCATAAATACTTCTAATACTTCAATTTTAACTGTTTTTTGGGATTGTAAGTCATTTAAATTGTAACATGATCAAGACAGTTTTGTGGATTTTGATTTAAAAGCTAAAAATGCATTTTGTCAAGCAGAAAACCTCTACTATATCATCATGAACGTTTCTATGATGAACATTTAAAAAAAAAATTCTCAGCCAAATTCTGATATCCATACTTAGAGAAGCTCATTCTGAAAGATTCTGAAAATCTGAACACCTCCCAGAAGGTGCTGAGTGCCCTCAAATCCCAGTGAGGTCAAGTCTTTAATTTTTACAAAGTCCTTAACCAGGAAAAATTCCCATTGATTTTCATTTGCCTAAATCAGGAGACCTGGGTTTTATTCCCAACTCTTCCATGACATGCTTTTATTTGTCTTGACATGTCATTTCACCTGTTCCCCACCTATACAATACCTTGAAATCTATGAATTAAGAAACAAAGCTATATAAAAGCTAAGGATTAAGTATTCATATTACTTACTTAATTTTTTACTGAGTCCTAGTATCTCGTCATTTGGCCCTTTCGCCGTACTATACAATTCCCTGAAAATGTTACATACCCCTGTTAAGGTAATATGAAATTAGACCCACACAGTGCAACTGCTCATTGATTTTGAATGGCAGATCAGCCAACAAACACCCTTGACTAGGGATAAAAAAAAATTCTGGATCCTCCTTCTCTCCATTCCTGAAGATAAAATGGTTGTCAAATCGGAGTATTTTTCAGCTAGCTCTTTAAATGAAAATCACTGTTTCCTAGGGGTGCTGAGTCACTGAATCAAATAGTTACTCCTGGGGGGATTCTGTGCCACTGCGCGTGCACAGAATTCATGTCCCCTACAGATTTCTTTGCTTTCCCACATAAAAATGACTTTCTGACAGGGAAGCAAAGAGAATCTGCAAGTGCAGTCATGCACCACTCCCTAGCAGAGCAGGTACATTGTTTCAGGCACCCAGAGCAGCCAGCGGAGAGGTAAATCACCATGGGGCTGGGGACACCTAGGAGCCAGTGGCTCCTATCCTGAGCCAGGATCAGCTGCTAGTCAGGTCTGGGCTGGAGGCAGGAGAGGACAGGACTTCCTCTTCCCTTGCAAGGATTGTCTAGGGCAGTGTCAAATCCATCCCCAGAAACCTCCCCCCCGCTGCAGGAAGCTCAGCATCCTCCCCTGCTTCCTGTCCCCATTGCTCCTCAGTTGTGGATGGGAAGGGTCACTGTAGGGGGAGCTGCTCCCACATCCACCCAACCCCCATGCATACGGACCTCCCATACCCAGACACCCCTGACAAGCTTCACCAGGTACATCCACAACCCTCCTAGCCCTCCATACCCAAACCCCACCTCACTGAATCTCAACCCCCTACATCTGAAGCCTCCTATACCCAGATGCCCTGCCTTTGGACCCCTGCCCCCAGATTACCCCCGCTGAGCTCCCTGCACTCAAACGACCACCCTGATGAGCTCCACCCCCCCGCACCACCCTGAGCCCCCACATCCAGACCCCCACACCACTAACCCCCAACGAGCTGCACCCAGACCCCCACCCCAAGCCCCACTCCCCCCACTGAGACCCCCACACCCAGACCCCTCCACTTAGCCCCAACCACCTTCACTTGAAAGCCCATGCAGAGTCCCATTGCCCCTGCACCTTGAAACCCCCCAACGAGCCTCTGTACATCCAGATCCCCCCACACATAGACCCCCCACCCAGAGCTGCCTGCACCCAGATTGTCCCACACAGAATCCTCTCACCGCACACCTGGATCCCACCATGCTGAGCCCCGCCTCACCTGGATCCTGCCTGGTTGAGCCCACCTGCCTTGCACCGAGCCCCAGGATTTTTCTGGGGCAGGTCCAGGCCTTGTGCTGTGTTAGGTTCGGGCCCAACCTCACCACATCACTGAGTCTGCGTCCTGCGGCTGGGAGAGGACTGCAGGGTGATCTCCCACCTTCAGCAAGCCAGTGGCCTGTGCGCCCCACTGCCATGCTGGAGCCTCTGCATTTATTTATTGACAAATAAAACTTGCAGAATTTTAAAATATTGTGCGTATAATTTTTAGGCACAGAATGCCCTCAGCAGTAAACTGTAAACCCTGTATATGATGGAAACCACTTTAAGCCGGGGGTGGTAGCAGCACCCCTAGTTCCAGCGGCTATGCGGTTTCCTCTCTGTGCAGACAGAGACAGCCCAACCAACAAGACCTCCTCTCTTTTTGGCAGGGGGAAGCCATTTATTGTTATCACGTTGTTCTAGTCCCAGGATTTCTCTGCGTTACCAGGCACATCCCCATGAGCTATTTCAGAGTTCTTTCCAGTAGTAAACATACAGCTCTTCTATCTTGCACTAATAATGGGTTTATGTAAAAAACAGTAACAGAGCGGGACAGGAAGCAGCATCTTGCTATGGGCTCCTCCTTAAACAAAGCAAAATTATGTAATCACGAATGAGGAGATCGGTTATTGACTTGACACTCAATATTGTATCTTTCCTTTGGCTGCTGTGTGGAACACGAGCCTGAACGCACCAGCTGCTTTTGGCTTTTAAAATAACAGCCGTCGTTTACCGACCTTTGATTATGTATTGAAGCAGTTTCCACAGAGCCCATCCCCGTGGTAGCTAAACTCCGAAATCTCTTCCTCTCGAAAGCCTCAAAGCTCTAAACGCCTAAAATCGAGACCAGATTTAGTTCAGAGCTACCAAAAAATAGTTTAGGGTGAGTCAGCTCTGAGCTCTTCTCCTTTCTCCCCTCCCCCTGGGAGACAAATACAACCAGCTATTCATTCGTCATCCAGCAAAGAAAAAGAACAATGTTGTCAACACAGTTACATGGCAGGCTACTTCTCTTTCTTTGCTAGCTTTCGAAGAGATTAGTTGAAAAGTCTGTCTCCTCGAAATGATCTACCTCCAGCTGTGCCCCATTCAATTAATTTCCAAAGCAGCTGAGCCTCCTTTGGTACAGTAAACAGGGCAACACATTGTAAACAAGGACCACCACACCAAACCATTAGAACAAATACATATGTTTTTACACACACATACAAACCCAGCATATTTTTAACAAAGCTCACTGATCATCTGGAATATGCAAGTGCAAACGCCAGCTCCGTCTGTTCAAACTAAATTAGCTGGGATATTTATGGGCAAATTCCAGTGCATCACGATTACCATAGTAACACTTTTCATTTAGTTAATAATGACTGTTCATTATATAGACCAAAGATCTCCACATTAAAGTCTCGTAAAAGCACCCCGGTGGAATCATTGTATCATCACTGGGATAGCAAAATACAGAGAAAACTAGCGATGTAAAAATCTTTAAAGGCTTCTGGTTCAGTGACTTGTCCCTTCGCATAATCTGAAGTTAGACAAATAATAGGGAGCCACTTACCTCTCTGAAGAGTACTCGCACACTTTCCGATCAGTGCAGCATACCCTTCATCTCGGAGCCAGATCGGTTCGGGAAGGCAGACAGACACTGGCAGCTCTCAATCAGATCTCACAGCTAAACCAGAACCACTTTGATTGAACAGAATTCTTCTAGTCTTTTGAAGTTCTAATTGAGCAGCCTAGAGCTCTGTATACTGCGTGCAACAGCTCAGCAGCTGCAGACGCAGTTCTGAGAGACACACAAGCCAGCACTCAAGCGGTGATTTACTGCTTTCCAGCCACTCCCCTTGGTAGACTATTCAGGCTGAATCTCCCTGAACCCCCTACATAAATACTATTTACATGCGATGACCTCCCGTTGCCCTTTTCCATGGATTTGAGAACTTTAACTTCTCCCTGTAAGATACCACTGAAGTGATGATTTATCACTTCCTAATACAACCTTTAGTGGGCAATCCAGACGACTACTGTCACTTCACTCCCAGATAATTTAATTATATTAGCACCTATTTTTGCTCACATCCAGACATGGGTGCAACTAGTTTGCAGTGTAAAGTGTATTCACGGAGACAAAAGCCCACCTACCTGTCAATGGTTGTGACCAATTAAAACAGCAGGTGTTGGGTGCAAAAAACAAACAGCTCTTTCCCTCAATGAATTAACAAGGGCTCATTTACACGGAGAAAAGCAACATATGTAAAGATCAGGGTGCCCCAAGTAGACAGAAATGTTGTGTCCCTCCTCCCCATCATTTATCTTCCCCATTGTGCCAATGCAATGCACTGCATGTGGACTGGTACATATACCCAGCTCATCCATCTCCTCTCTCAAGCTAGCATCCCTTTTACTTCTTGTTTATACACAGATGTGTCCTCCTCACACCAAGGGAATTCCTTTGCACCTTGCACCACCCTGTGAGTTCACCTACCACCACATCTGCAACACCACCTGAAGCCACCACAACTCTCACTCTGTTGAATCACTGATTTCATGCCTTGATCACTGCAGCCCCCTCCTGTTGTTCACTTCCAGTGCTAGTCTGTTCATAACAGCAACACGCCTTCCAGAGGCAACAGGTAACTGTTCACAGTGGGGGAGGGCAGTGTAAAGGTTCTGGGAGGCAAGTGACCACCCCACAGAGGTTTTCAAACTGTGGGGCATGCCACCATAGGGGTCAGTGGTGACGCTAGGGGGCTCAAGCTAACCCCACCTGGTGGGGTTCAGGGAGGGAGTGCCACCTCCACCCCCCACTCACTTCAGCAAGCCACCCAGCCTGTCTGAGTTTGGAGGGGTGCAACCAAAAATCAGGGGGGGGGGGAATACATGAGCCCACATGCCTCCCTCCCCACGCATCACCTCTGAATTGCCTTCTCACCTCTGGAAGTAACATTCAGGCCCTGTGTGCCTGTGTCACCTTCCTGACTTGTCAGCAATCCCCTGGAGCTTGAGGATGATTGTCTTCCATAAAATGATAGCCAGTTAGCCCTGGTGGATCCGCAGGTGGCTAATGAGGCTGATCCAGGATCCACAGATTTTGTCACAGTTGGGGCAGACATTTCCCAGGGGTAGGGGCTGATCCACAGAGAATAGCCATGTGCTAACAACTCTCTGCTACCAGCATTAGCTCAAGTGACTATAGCCTTTGCTTAGGACCTAGAGGTCTTGGGTTCAAACTTGGCTGCTGCTGATGTCACACTTACAGGGCTAGCTGCCCTTCTGGTCTCTGAGTGCACCCCTTTACCTTTCCTCTGACAGAATCATGCAATTCTCCCACTGTCAGATCAGGACCTAAACTACAGAACCCTGTGTATCAACCATGCTAACCAGCAGGTCTGACTGGATTCAGTACCTGTGGTTCTTCCCTTCAGAAGCTAGTGACCAATGGACTACAGAGACCCAAAACAGCTTTTATAAACCAAAGTACTATTTATTTAACCACAGAACAAAGCAAACAAGACAAAGTGGATTTTTAAAACAACAGGTCTGCATGCTTACTTATCTTACCTAAGGCCCTAGGCAAGTCTGTCTTCCTCCTGACTCCTAATCTCTGGGTCTCAGTCTGTTCCCTGTTCTCTCTCTCCCCCTGGCCTTAAGGACCTCTCTCTAAATCCAGCCAAAAGCTTCTGTTCTCAGTTTCCTGCAGCGTCTTTGTCCTGCTGTCCAAAACCCACCTGCTGAGCTCAGCAGTGTGTCTGGAGGTGGAACTTGAAAGCCAATGGCTCTTTCACTGTCCCTCAAGTGTCGGTGGATAGACAACTCAGTGAAGCCGTTATACTCTTTTCCTGCCTATGTGCAAACAGCCTCTTCTTGAATTAACCTCATGTATTACAATAAACCGCTTATAACAACCAGGAAAGCATATAGAACATATAGTATTCATAAATTATTTCAGTCACCTTCAAATCTATCACTGACCCAACCAGAGGGTTATTGCTTACATGCAAAGGTAGGCACATCACCCCCTCATCCTGAAAGATCTTTCTGGGACTGCTACTTTTTTCAAAGATATGCTCACATTCCATACTGGATCCCTTCACTTTTCCAATTCAATATCCCTCTTTTTCTCCTTTGTTAGATGCTGATCCTTTGTTGCTGTCTCCAGTTATCCAGAAAAATGTTGCTAATATTGTTATTTTTCTTTCTTTTGTCTTAGGGCTAGTCTACACTGGCAACGTTAAAGTGCTGCCGCGGCTCTAAAGAAAACCACCTCCACGAGGGGCGTAGCTACCAGCACTGGGAGTGCGGCTCCCAGTGCTGGTGCACTGTCTACCCTGGTGCTTTACAGAGCTGAAACTTGCTGCATTCGGGGGGGGGGGTGTTCACACCCCTGAGCAAGAAAGTTGCAGTGCTGTAAATTGCCAGTGCAGACAAGCCCTTATTAATATATAAGTCACAAATCTAAGGACTTTATTATCATTTTCCTCATAATGTTGCAGCAGCCTGTGAAGAGCTGTCTCTGCCTTACCAGACAGAATGATATTGAATTGATCTCGAGTGGTTGTTTCTTTTTTAAAATATTTTTATGCACTATTTCAAAATTTTTCATTTCAATCTGAAGTCTACCCCTTTCATTGTCTTCTTTCTTCCCAGAAGCAATTCTAAAGAGCTTTCTTCTTGTCACTTCATTATAAGCTTCCCATATAATGTTGTTGGAGTTTCCTCCATACTCACTGATTTCAAACTATGTTGTGGCCTCGTCTTAAACTATCTAAATGACAAACAATTAGCAGTAGATTATTCATTTTTCAGGGCCTCTGTGCCACACCAGAAAGTAGCAGAAAGTGGAACATGCTCACTCCAAACCAATTAGCCAATATCAGGTTATAAAAGGGACAAGATTAGAATATAATCAGCCTTCATTAAGGCTGTGAGTTGCCACAGAAGTCACGGATTCTGTGATTTTCCATGACCTCCGTGACTTCTGCAGCTGCTGGTGCGCCTGGCCCGGGGGCAGCTCAGGCAGCTGCTGCGCCAGTCTCACCGACCGCTGCTGGGGCAGCCTCAGGCTATCACACCCCGTCCCCAGCAGTAGCAGGAGTTTGGGTGGGAGGGAGGGTAGGGGATTAGGGCACGGGACGGGGTAAAGCGGGCTCTGGGCAGTGCTTACCTGGCGGGGGGCTCCCCGGAAGCAGCGACATCCCCCCCGCTCAGCTCCTAGGCAGAGGCTTGGCCAGGCAGCTCTGTGTGCTGTCTCCACCTGCAGGCACCACCCCGCAGCTCCCATTGGCCGCGGTTCCCAGCCAATGGGAACTGTGAAACCGGCACTCTGGGCAGAGGCAGTGCACAGAGCTGTCAGGCCATGTCTCCACCTAGGAGCTGAGCAAGGGGGATGTCCCCACTTCCGGGGAGGCACAGAGCCAGGTAGGGAGCCTGCTGGCCCAGCCAACCCCCCCCAGTCCCAGTGGGGGTCCCAGGCCGCATGCTGCTGCCCCTCCCCCAGCACCTGCGGCATCCATGGGCCATGCGCTGCTGCCCATGCCCACCCAAGCACCCGCAGCACCCCCGGGCCACCCCTCCTCCCCCAAGATTTAGTCAGGGGTATATAGTAGAAGTCATGGACAGGTCATGGGTTATATAGCCCATAACCTGTCCATGACTTTTACTAAAAATACCCATGACTAAAACATAGCCTTAGCCATAATGTATAGGTGGTGAACGTGAAATCCCTGGATAGTGGCTTTAATTTCTGCCAGGCACTAAGAATAACTTATCTCTTGCAGCTTATTTTTATGCATTATCCTGAATATTTATCTGTCTCCAATCAGACCTATCTAAAATTGTATGAAATATTACATTGAAATCACTTCACAACAGAATGAAATCCAAAGTGAAACTTGTCAAGTTAGTAATAAAACATGGACCTGAATCTGGAGCATAGATGGAGCCTGAGGTAACTTCTTAGCCCATCAAGAATCTTTAACTGAGAACAAGTGCTTTAAGGGATGGGGAGACAAAGGAGGAGGCAGGGACTGAGTACTCTTCTGAAAAGAGAACAATAGCAGGACAACTTGAGAGCTGGGTTTGATGTCAGGAAAGGGGGCTTTGCTAGCGGGTGGGGAGTAGAATTCCTCCAGAGAAGAGGAGAGGGTCAGGAATATTTGTGATGGGAAAGGAGTAGCCAAGCTCCCCAAAGCGGGCAAGAAGGGAAGATAGGGTGCTGAATGGGTTACAGAAGAGTTAAGATCAGATAGGGTACATGTGCTGAGAGATAGCGCACAGGTGGGAATCACCTTCAGGACCTCAGTGCAGTTTATACCTCTGCTCAGTGTTCTAAAAGTAGACTCAATTTCTGTCTGTAGGGGTTGTTGGGGTTTTTCGTTTGTTTTTTTGTCAGCTCAGGCTGCTGAGGTTTTTTTCAAACTGCAGTTTCACTTCCTCATTTTATGGCAAAATTTTCAAATAAATCCTAAAGAACAAAAATTAAAGAAGCTATCTGACAGACAAGCTATGGGGAACAAAGATCCTTCAGCAGAGGTTGCATTAAAGGGATCTAGTCTATTTCCCAAAATGAGTTAAATGTAGTGTCAGGTACAACTCTTACCCTTCAGTCCCCTGGCCAATTGTGATAGCTTTACAATCACATTTTCCTGTTTAAAACAACACTTCCCTCCCCTTCCACTGTGAAAAAAACCACACAAACAACAGGTAAAACTGTGAAACTGATTATACAGTGTTCTTAAATGCACAAAGTAAACAGACTGGGGAAAAATGCAATTTCTCTCTAATATTTTAAAGTTATAGTCCCTTGAG